TCCCTCAACTGTAGACCCCAAACTAGTAATAATTCTGGGAAACTCCAAGGCTAAATTTTTGGAATTCAGGTATCTTTTGGCTGATAAATTTGCAGATACATTTGTTTTACTCAGGCACATCTTATGTTTTGAAATCTATTTCAGTTAGTATACTTAGACTTAGGATGATTCTCTTCTACAAGGAGGAATAGAGGCCCAAAATGTCCTATTAAAAAATATTACAAAATTCTTAGTAGATATTCAAATCTTTCTGAAACAATCTGGCAACTTCTTGAGCAAAAGGCTACTTTGGGTTTATTTTTAAATCATTAAAGTTCTGTCAGCTTTCTTTCACTAGCAGGCTTCATTTCCTATGGTAGTGAAATGAAGGAAAATGAAACATTTTCTGTAAAGGAAAATGAAACAATCCAAATTAGTATTTGAGCATCTGAACTGAAAAATATAGGGAAACTTTCTCATGGTTTAGAATTTTCCATTAAAGAAAGGTAACCAGGAATCACTCTTCTACCCATCTCTCTTTCTTATTAAGAGTTTTTGTTTTATTTTCTATTTTATTTTGAAAGTTCTTCATGAATGCAGTGATCTCCTAAATAGGGTTCCTACTCTCCAAGTGGTATACAAGGCAGCCAGTAGAAAGCAGAAGAAAATAGAAATACATATTGTACTCTAGAAAAGAAATTAAGCCTTACTAATATTTAATATAAAGTACTTTTCCCCAAACACACTTTATCTTCCTAGCAGTTAGTGACATATTACCTTGGGTAAAAGATGTAACTTAAAAGTACAATTGGAATTTCACAGTTTAGGAGGGTTGATAGGGGTACCCCAAGCTCCTTCCTTTGAAAACATAGTTCAATATGCCTACTTTTAGGAGAAATACAGCAATTATCTTAGTAGTAGAATCTTTATTATATCATGTCTTTTAGTATTGCTGTCACAACAAGCCACCACAAACTTACTTGCTTAAACAACAAAAATTTATTGTCTTACAGTTCTGTAGGTCAGAAGTCCTACATAGGGCTCACCAGGCTAAAGAAGTTGGCAAACAGAGTTCCTTTCTGTAGGTGCTAGAGAAGAATCTGTTTCTTTCCTCATTTGGGTAGATTTGAATTTCATGTGGTTGTATTACTATGGTCTCCATTTTCATGCTGATTGTCAGATGAGGACCATTCCCAGCTACTCGAAGCCATCTCATTCCTTGGCTCACATGACCTTCTTCCTCTGTCTTCACAGCAAGCAACAATAAGGCAACTCTCATATTTCAAATCTCTTTCTCTCTTCTCCCATCATATCTCTCTGACCCACTCCTCTGTCTTCCTTTTCCACTTTTTAAAATTTTTATTATGATATCATTAATATACAATCACATGAGCAACACTGTGGTTACTAGATTCCCCCCATTATCAAGTCCCCACCACAAACCCCATTCCACTCACTGTCCATCAGCATAGTAAGATGCTATAGAGTCACTACTTGTCTTTTCTGTGTTATATTGCCTTCCCATGTCCCCCACTTAATTATGTGTGCTAATCATAATGCGCCTTTATGCCCCTTATCCCTCCCTTCCCACCCACCTTCCCCAGTCCCTTTCCCTTTGGTAACTGTTAGTCCATTCTTGGGTTCTGAGAGTCTGCTGCTGTTTTGTTCCTTTAGTTTTTGCTTTGTTGTTAAACTCCACAGATGAGTGAAATCATTTGGTACTTGTCTTTCTCCACCTGGCTTATATCACTGAGCATAATACCCTCTTGCTCCAACCATGTTGTTGCAAATGGTAGGATTTGTTTTCTTCTTATGGCTGAATAATATTCCATTGTGTATATGTACTACATCTTCTTTATCCATTAATCTACTGATGGACACTTAGGTTGCTTCCATTTATTGGCTATTGTAAATAGTGCTGCAATAAACATAGGAGTGCATCCGTCTTTTTGAATCTGGGATCCTGTATTCTTAGGGTAAATTCCTAGGAGTGGAATTCCTGGGTTAAATGGTATTTCTATTTTTAGTTTTTTGAGGAACCTCTATACTGCTTTCCACAATGGTCGAACTAGCTTACATTCCCACCAGCAGCATAGGAGGGTTCCCCTTTCTCCACATTCTCACCAGTATTTGTTATTGTTTGTCTTTTGGATGGTGGCCATCCTAACTGGTATGAGGTGATACCTCACTGTGGTTTTAATTTGCATTTCTCTGATGATTAGTGATGTGGAGCATCTTTTCATGTGCCTGTTGGCCATCTGAATTTCTTCTTTGGAGAAGTGTCTGTTCAGATCCTCTGCCCATTTTTTAATTGGATTATTTGCTTTTTGGTTGTTGAGGAGCATGAACTCTCTGTATATTTTGGATGTCAACCCTTATCAGATATGTCATTTACAAATATATTCTCCCATATGTAGGATGCTTTTTTGTTCTGCTGATGGTGTCCTTTGCTATACAGAAGCTTTTCAGCTTGATAAGGTCCAGCTTGTCCATTTTTGCTTTTGTTTCCCTTGCCTGGGGAGATATGTTCATGAAAAAGTTGCTCATGTTTATATTGAAGAGAGTTTTGCCTATGTTTTGTTCTAAGAGTTTTATGGTTTCATGACTTACATTCAGGTCTTTGATCCATTTTGAGTTTACTTTTGTGTGTGGAGTTAGACAGTAATGCAGTTTCATTCTCTTACATGTAGCTGTCCAGTTTTGCCAACATCAGTTGTTAAAGAGGCTGTCATTTCCCCATTGTATATCCATGGCTCCTTTATCATATATTAATTGACCATATGTGCTTGGGTTAATATCTGAACTCTCTATTCTGTTCCATTGGTCTACAGGTCTGTTCTTGTGCCAGTATCAAATTGTGTTGATTCTTTTTCCACTTTGAAGAACTCATGCGATCAGGTTGGTCCTACCGGGATATTCCAGGATAATCTTCCCATTTTAGGGTCCTTAACCTTAAACACATTTGCAAAGTTCTTTTTGCCATGTAAGAAAGCATTGTCAAAGATTATGGGGATTAGGGTCTGGGCATCTTTGGGGGACCATTATTCTGCCTACCACAACATGAAATTATTTTGTGCCACAAAGAGGTTCACCTCATACCTGTACCATGATAACTAAATAAATAAATGCTGAAAATAAAAATTTATTTACCTGTTTAAATATCTTCAAAATGCCCATTGTTAAAAATATTAAAATGTTACATCTTTCAAATTCCAAAAATGATTACTGATTGACATTAGGAAAGACTGAAATTTACTAGATGAATTTCAATAAAAGCTGTGATGTATTTGATAAATGAGGTTTGAATGCTAGTAACTGACTTAGTCAGTTTGCCAAACATGCACTTCTACCATTTGCATTGACTAAGCATTGAAAGTGAACTTAAAACTGGTTGCCAAAATGAACACTTAAAATATGTCCACACAAAAATCTGCACATGGATGTTTAAGGCAGCTTTATTTATAACTGCTTATAACTGCCAAAATTTGGAAGCAACCAAGATGTCCTAAAACAGGTGAATGTATAAACTGTGGTACATCCAGACAATGGACTATTAGTCAGTGCTAAAATAAAATGAGCTATCAATCCTTGAAAGGACATGGAGAAATCATAAATGCATATTATTGAGTGAAAGAGGCCATTATGAAAGGGTTGCATTCTGTTTGATTCCAGTTGAATGACATTCTGGGAAAGCAAAATTATAGAAAAAGCAAAAAGATCAAGAGTCACCAGGGGTTTGGAGTACTAATAGCAATAAATAGGTGTAGGACAGAGAATTTGGGGGACAGAGGAAACACTCTATATGACCATAATAATAGATATATGTCATTTTACAACTGTCCAAACCTACAGAATATATACCACCAAGAGTGAACCCTAAGGTAAACTATGGGCTTTAATGTCTTTGTAGGTTCATCAATTGTAATAAAAATACCACTCTTGTGGGGAATGTTGGTAATGGGAGAGGCTATGCATGTGTCGGTATAGGGGATATAAGGGAAGATTCTAAAACTGTGAACCTAAAACTGCTCTAAAAAAATCGTTGCCAAAAAAAACAAAAAATCATACAAGAAATGAGGTGAACCAGATTTTAAAATCATTTTAGGAAATAGAAACAGTTTGAAAAATCATTAATACTATCACATTGCTTTCACCAAAATAACATTACATCAAATGAGCGAAAAAAAGTTTTAAAATAAGATCTATTTTAAAATAATGCTATTTCATCTTCATCTCATCCCTTTAAAAGTACTGTTTTTAAGTGGGCATGACTAATATAGCCCTAATTTATAAAACAAATAATATATTGGTATAAGTAAATATCCTTTATAAATGAATAAATGTAAATATACATATTTGTAGTGCATATCTTAAAATTTTACGTATAGGTATGAGCCATCAAATTAAAAACTATTATACCAGTAAGTTCACACTAAATACATTTGGTTGCTACATTACAAATAAAACTACCTAAACAAAATGCTAATCAATCTGATATATCATCACTTCGCAAGAATTTTATAACAGGTAAATCAGATCTTGACTGTCATCATTTCAATTTGCCACTCAAAAATGGAGACACTCAATAACATTTTTAAAATACCACTTTCCCTACTAGCTAACTAAATTTAAAACATTGAACCTTAAAAGTCCCAGGTACATGTGAGATGCCATTTTTACTTCTTTAATGTATAGGGGAATTTATTTGCTAGTGATATTAACATATACCCCTTCATTTCTTGCATGAAAACATCTAAATACATTAGAAACAGCTAGAAAACCTCCAGTTCTCCTGGTTTCTCTATGGTTGTTATGTAGTGGATATATTTTGTGACTAGAAAAATTATACATAATTTTAGCAAATGGATAATGAATTAGAAATAATGCTCATAATGTTATTTTTCTTTGGTAGGATGCATCCTTCCCCTCTCAATTCATGTTTGTTTGTTGTGTGTTGTTGGCTAATCAACACACACAGCATATTCTCTTTAAAAAACATATGTTCAATCCATTGCACTTACCAAACTATTCCCTGAGCCCCAGAGCCAATAGGCTTTAGATTCTGGTAGCGCTTGAGAACTGTGAAGGTTGAGTCTCCCACTTCCACACTGTAGAACTGGTTGTCAACTTTGCTTTTGCTCATGTTGTAATGTTTGGCAATATATGACACATCCACTTGTTTATCAAATCCCTGTGAAAAAGAACAACAAAAACATGAGACCAGCAAACAACCAGAATGACAATGAGATAGAGGCCTGTTCTTTAATGATTACTAACACTTAGTCATCTATTGTCATATAATCCTGTATTTCACATAGGAAAATTATATATTAGTCCATTTGTAAGGTAACTTGAAGTAAAAGAGCTTCTTAGAAAAAATGCAGAGAAAAATTTTTCAATATTAAAGCTATTTTTAATAAAATAATCTTAGGTTAGATTTGCATAATCTCTTCTGAAATGTTTCATTAAAACCATTTAGTTATTTATGGTGCAAACATCTACTGAATATGTACTGGTCCCAGAAACTATGCTAGAGACTTCAGAGGTGATCTCTGATCATCCATTATAACAGCCATATGAGAAGGAATAAAATATTATATGTATATCCCCTTCTCAGAAAAAAACTGAGATACAAAATAATGTATAGTTTTAAATTTTTAGTAAGGTAAATTTCATTAAATAGTGTTCCCTTCATTTGTTTTCAACACCAAGAATGCTATTATTCTGCATTGAAAACATTGAACAATTTTAGTCAAAATTAACATTATTCTAAAATGCCACATGACATCTTTTAACTCTTTATAAACTAAAATTTTAAATATCTCAATTTTTTGTATCTTTTGTTTATCTTTAAAGGAATTTCTTCTCTCTTTAATTATATTAAGCAATCAAGGGCTCTGTCCTTGAAATTTTGAGTCATGATTTATGAATATATAATGTAACATCCATAAACCATAATTATTTTTTCCCATAAATGACCTTACATGGCATTTTATGACATTAAATAGTTTGTCTTCTATAGCTAGGAGGGACCTCATAGAATATTATCTAGCTTGTTCTTTGCAGCAAACACAGGAAAATGCATACCCAACAGTCATCCTATCTCCTTGCTGACTTTATTCAGGTTTTGAGTTCTCACATGAACTGTGAGGTCCTTCCCAATCCCAGAAATTGAAAAATTGAATAGTCTAGACCAGTGATTCCTCTGAGAGGTGACTTTACCCCTCAGTAGGCATTTAGGAGATTTGTGGCATGTTTTGGCATGCCCCAATGACAGGAGATGCAGCTTATATTTAGTTGGTTTATCAAACAAGGCTTGTTGCCCTGCAATGAGTGGGACATTGCCACATGATGAGTAATTTCCTACATGCTTTACAAGTTTTGGGGTATGCAAAGCTTTAACTAGTAGGAAAAAGAGAAAGAAAAAAAGAGATAAAAAAAGACTGCTTTTACTATTCTGAGCCCAGAATCTAAACCAAAGGATCTTTGTGTAGTTTTATCATACACTGACTTCTGAAAATCTAATTCTCATGTAATCTGAAAGAAGATTACACCTCCCTTGGCTCTGAACCTCTTTAATACTATCACATTGCTTTCACCAAAATAACATTACATCAAATGAGCGAAAAAAAGTTTTAAAATAAGATCTATTTTAAAATAATGCTATTTCATCTTCATCTCATCCCTTTAAAAGTACTGTTTTTAAGTGGGCATGACTAATATAGCCCTAATTTATAAAACAAATAATATATTGGTATAAGTAAATATCCTTTATAAATGAATAAATGTAAATATACATATTTGTAGTGCATATCTTAAAATTTTACGTATAGGTATGAGCCATCAAATTAAAAACTATTATACCAGTAAGTTCACACTAAATACATTTGGTTGCTACATTACAAATAAAACTACCTAAACAAAATGCTAATCAATCTGATATATCATCACTTCGCAAGAATTTTATAACAGGTAAATCAGATCTTGACTGTCATCATTTCAATTTGCCACTCAAAAATGGAGACACTCAATAACATTTTTAAAATACCACTTTCCCTACTAGCTAACTAAATTTAAAACATTGAACCTTAAAAGTCCCAGGTACATGTGAGATGCCATTTTTACTTCTTTAATGTATAGGGGAATTTATTTGCTAGTGATATTAACATATACCCCTTCATTTCTTGCATGAAAACATCTAAATACATTAGAAACAGCTAGAAAACCTCCAGTTCTCCTGGTTTCTCTATGGTTGTTATGTAGTGGATATATTTTGTGACTAGAAAAATTATACATAATTTTAGCAAATGGATAATGAATTAGAAATAATGCTCATAATGTTATTTTTCTTTGGTAGGATGCATCCTTCCCCTCTCAATTCATGTTTGTTTGTTGTGTGTTGTTGGCTAATCAACACACACAGCATATTCTCTTTAAAAAACATATGTTCAATCCATTGCACTTACCAAACTATTCCCTGAGCCCCAGAGCCAATAGGCTTTAGATTCTGGTAGCGCTTGTGAACTGTGAAGGTTGAGTCTCCCACTTCCACACTGTAGAACTGGTTGTCAACTTTGCTTTTGCTCATGTTGTAATGTTTGGCAATATATGACACATCCACTTGTTTATCAAATCCCTGTGAAAAAGAACAACAAAAACATGAGACCAGCAAACAACCAGAATGACAATGAGATAGAGGCCTGTTCTTTAATGATTACTAACACTTAGTCATCTATTGTCATATAATCCTGTATTTCACATAGGAAAATTATATATTAGTCCATTTGTAAGGTAACTTGAAGTAAAAGAGCTTCTTAGAAAAAATGCAGAGAAAAATTTTTCAATATTAAAGCTATTTTTAATAAAATAATCTTAGGTTAGATTTGCATAATCTCTTCTGAAATGTTTCATTAAAACCATTTAGTTATTTATGGTGCAAACATCTACTGAATATGTACTGGTCCCAGAAACTATGCTAGAGACTTCAGAGGTGATCTCTGATCATCCATTATAACAGCCATATGAGAAGGAATAAAATATTATATGTATATCCCCTTCTCAGAAAAAAACTGAGATACAAAATAATGTATAGTTTTAAATTTTTAGTAAGGTAAATTTCATTAAATAGTGTTCCCTTCATTTGTTTTCAACACCAAGAATGCTATTATTCTGCATTGAAAACATTGAACAATTTTAGTCAAAATTAACATTATTCTAAAATGCCACATGACATCTTTTAACTCTTTATAAACTAAAATTTTAAATATCTCAATTTTTTGTATCTTTTGTTTATCTTTAAAGGAATTTCTTCTCTCTTTAATTATATTAAGCAATCAAGGGCTCTGTCCTTGAAATTTTGAGTCATGATTTATGAATATATAATGTAACATCCATAAACCATAATTATTTTTTCCCATAAATGACCTTACATGGCATTTTATGACATTAAATAGTTTGTCTTCTATAGCTAGGAGGGACCTCATAGAATATTATCTAGCTTGTTCTTTGCAGCAAACACAGGAAAATGCATACCCAACAGTCATCCTATCTCCTTGCTGACTTTATTCAGGTTTTGAGTTCTCACATGAACTGTGAGGTCCTTCCCAATCCCAGAAATTGAAAAATTGAATAGTCTAGACCAGTGATTCCTCTGAGAGGTGACTTTACCCCTCAGTAGGCATTTAGGAGATTTGTGGCATGTTTTGGCATGCCCCAATGACAGGAGATGCAGCTTATATTTAGTTGGTTTATCAAACAAGGCTTGTTGCCCTGCAATGAGTGGGACATTGCCACATGATGAGTAATTTCCTACATGCTTTACAAGTTTTGGGGTATGCAAAGCTTTAACTAGTAGGAAAAAGAGAAAGAAAAAAAGAGATAAAAAAAGACTGCTTTTACTATTCTGAGCCCAGAATCTAAACCAAAGGATCTTTGTGTAGTTTTATCATACACTGACTTCTGAAAATCTAATTCTCATGTAATCTGAAAGAAGATTACACCTCCCTTGGCTCTGAACCTCTGGTTGGCTATAAAACCTTTCCTTAGAAATTTGGGCACTTCATTTCTAAACAAAGAAATAGAACCTCATTTGCCCCTGGATGCTCTTCAAAGGGAGCCAGGCAACATCAGTAATGTATATGAGATGGGGACTTACGGACACAGGTGGTAGCACCTGTGAATCTAGGGCAAGATCCTTCAGCCCCAGACTTAAGAACAGAATCCATGTGACAGGCACCAGCCTGTGACTGGGAGAGATATGGTGGCAGTAATCTGATACAAATACACACTGAGCTCAGAAAGCACAGAAAGGATGATAGATTAGGAAACTAGGTTGCAGGTAATTTATAAATACAATAACAAGATGTCTGAAATCCTGGAAGCAGTCTTTGAAAGATGAAATTAGAAATTAAACAAGAGTATTGAGAATCAGGGTATTGTAAGCCTGTTAAAGAGACTACAACAGGGTTTAGAATTTAAACAGACATGGAAAACAGCTGAAACCAGAACATTAGTTTAAGCAGTCCTTGACTTCAACCACACTATCAGGAACTGCTCTCTACACCACAGACCATTTTTTCTCTAGACTTTTGGTAGATCTGTAGACTAAACCCTACTGAAGTCTTTTTTTTTTTCTGGCAGAAAATGTGAAGAGCAACTGGAACTAGACTAAGAAATGAATCCATCTCCAAGGTTAGTTTAGGATGAATGAAGTGACTGGCTTGCCATTTCTTATGTTCCAACCCTTCTTTACACCCTTTAATATTCTGGTTTCTGACCACTCACAAAATCCTTAGCACTCACTAGCCCCATCAAACCTAGATAATCCACTTCTCTTTCCCCCACTTATTCTCTTCACCTCTGAACTGTTGCTCAGTCCAACTGTGCTGCAGGCATATACTAATCATATACAGTGACCTTTGTGTTCCAGACCCCTGACATAATGCCGTGTCTTGGCACCGCCCTACCCCTTCAGACCTGGCTGTGGCTTTTCTCGCTATGGTCTCAGTCTTCATCCACTTGAATCCCCTATGCTGGCCCTCCTTTTCCAACATTTCAATATATATTCAAAGAAATCAAGGGAGTCCAACAATTCATGGAACTTCTCTTTCAGACTAAGATATTCTATTCTTTACAAACATATAATTGAGCAAAAACACAGATGATACACATATTATGAGCCCAGTATTACAT